AATGGAACACTCTGAAAAAAGGACACTGCCTTTTTATTTCACATGCCTGGGGCTTTTCTTGGTGTTTGATGTGCAATAGACACTCAATATATGTCTGTAATGGTGTCATTTACAACCTGTTAGACTTTAAGAGATTTGAAAAAAATTACAAAAGCTAAATTTTAATATCATTTTTAAGTAACAAAAAATCTAAAGCAGTGTTTTCATAATCTACTTTTTTCTCTAAATTTCTGACATGATCTGAGTAACTTAAATTTGTTCCTGGCCTTCAAGTAGAATGGCCACTGACTCCTGAAAAATTTTTTGCCTCAGGAAATTATGAGATATTTCAAATGGATTGAGTTTCAATTGTTTAATGAAAGACAAAAGGAAATAGGATTTAGCATGTCCAGCCACAGGATTTGAACATGACCAGGACAAACAAGGGAAGTTTTTTGTTTTATTTTTTTGGCCAGGAAAATAGTTAATCCTTTTTACAGGAATTAAGCCACCCCTTAGACTAAATTTATCATCCCAGGACCATCAGAGCATTGAAGTGACACATGAATAGCTTTAGAATCATATCCAAAGCTAAGCAGCTTGAAGGATTCCTTCTGCCTCTTCAAGAGCTATAAGTTCTTGGTTTTGTTTTCCAATTTTAAAATTGGCAAACAGCTTTACCTTTTCTCGTGTTTATATGCAAGAACACATGCACATAAGTGTGGGCATGCATGTGTGCAATGTGTGTGTCTTTAACCTCTGAGGGTACATGTGGAATTAATTGAATTAAAAAAGTAAGCTCTGAAATTTTCTTAAGATTTCATTAAATTCCATAAACAACTAATAAAAGAAACAAAGTATTAAAATATATTCTTTAATCCCAGGGTGTCTATATGGAGTAAGGTTCAAAGAAGAAACAGTTTCTGTACACTGACGGAAAGATGTTTTCCTTTGTATTTTTTATACCTCTAAATCCTGTTAGTTTAAGCTTTATATCAGACAAAGAAGTGTCTAGTACTCAATTTTTAGAATTAGGCCCCACGTTTGAAACAGGGACACAGGAAAAAAATCCAGTTTAATAGTATCAATGATTGTCTTCAAAGGAAGGAAAAAGAGGGGAAGGTCACAGTAGAAGCCTTTCTCAAATATGTAATTAGAAGAGTCTGGAGATGATAATCATTGGTTGAAAGATTGATCAGTTAAACAATTTATATCTATATCTATAAATTATATGTATATATCTATAAAGTCACATATAAAATAGAAAAGTCCACACAATTAGGGTATAATAAGAAAGTTATCAATGTGCAATGTCATTACCAATAAAAGAGAAAGATTAAAAAACAATTACAACATGCTGTGCATATCAGGGGGTTTAATTTATTTTCAGCCCAGGGTAATTAGCTCATAGTTTGCATAGTACAAGTCAATTGTTTTGTAGTCCCATGAAAACACTATTTAAAAGTAATTGGAAAGAAAGTAAAAAATAAAGTCTGAATTCTGCAGAAAATGCTCTATGGAAAATTTAGCACCTTTAAACAAGATGATCACATGAATTCTAGAACTGATAGACTCCTAAGATATTAGAATTCTTTGCCATTTTAAAAATAGAACTTTTTTCTTTCAGGATTGATACTTATCTATATTATTTTAACTGTATCTAGGTAAGAGACTCCAAGAGGTCTCTTTGTAATCAATTTTAGCCTAAAAAGATTAGAAAATCTCTATATTTGATTTATTTTTCATTTCCAAAATATTTTAGAATAAAATATTTTTTTTTCTTTGAAATAGATTATTCTCACAGTAGTCAATGTGTTGTATTCCTGATTTTTCCCTATAATCTGAATAAAAACTTAAATTGTCAGTGAATATGTGCCTTCAAGATATATTCTCTCCTGGCCCACATGATGTTATAAATTGTCAACAAATATTACATACAAATGATATTAATATTTTGGCAATACATCAAAATTAATTTTTTTATATCACCACTAAGCAGTCAAATTATTTTCAATTAAAAGACATGTTATCTAGGAACAAATATCTGGTTTACAATATATTCAGGAGGTTAAAAAGTGATAAAACAAAGTAAGTTCAAAGTGAGAGAAGAGTCTAAATATTATAATTTTGTGTTTATCAATCACGTTTTAGCACAGTGAAGAAGGAGAAATATACATAATTCTATGTCTTTAGACCATTCCTAAGACAGAATTGTTTCAATAATTTTCTAATGCTTAAAGATAACTCCCCAAATTTTTGTTAGGTTTCATCCACATCTCTTCATTTAGTTTTTCTTTTATTTGCAAGACTTTACTGAGTTAATTCAGTATAGTCTAGGTACTATGAGGTAGATAAGATTTTCTTAGTCTCAACAAAAATTGTAAAGTTCATTGCCTTGAATGAGATAGGAAAAGCCCTTCGAAAATTCCATCGTTTAGTTTTTGATAAGTATATTTATATAATAGAAACATAAAATAACCTGTCCATGAAAAGTAAAATAAAATGACATTTTATTTTAAACATTTCTATCATAAGACAAATGTCCCCTGAAATTCAAGAATGTGCTTTCAATAAAATGAAGTAACAAAAGTTGCATGCAAAAAATTTGCTGGTAAAAAAATATAAATCTCAGTGTAATGAAATTAAATTAAGAAAAAATTTAATATGAATGAAAAACACACACATTTATCAATATTGCTATTTTTAAAAAGTAATATACTTCTGGAAGACAGTATATCCAAAACTTATTTTACGAAGCCTTGGATTTAGTCATGCTGAAAATTAAGCTTTTTCTCTTGGGTATAGATTTTTTTTTGTATAACCGAGAAATACACTAAATATTTCTATTTACTAAAAACTAACATACTAAAATTTAGTTATTCTCATACAGTAGTTTCAGATACATATGGAATTCATGTGTATGCGTGTGTATGTGTGTGTACGTGTGTGCTAAAGCTGTACTATCCTTCAGGTCTCAAACAGTAGACAGATCGAACCTTCTCTGAAACACTTTGTCTAATGCTGCATATGTAACAAGTGCATTGCTTTTAAGTCAATTTTGTATATATATATTTTAGGGAAAAAATTGGGGGAGTAATTTCAGAGGTTGATTCGTATGCAGGTAAATGAGAATCCCTAGCTGAATATCATCAGTAAATTCACATTAACAATACTTTGGTTAACTAGATATAGTGTGCTAATTCTACAATAAAACACTTCCTGTATTTTACTTGTCCTTTAATAAACCCTCAAACACACTAATTTATTCCACTCTATACCTTGGCTCTTTCTTCCATTTTTATTCAGTGGATCCAACAAATAAAATATCTTCTTACGATCCCCATGTCCTATAAACTAACACTTCTGGATTTATTGGGAAGGAAGAAGCCAACCCATATCTCAGTCAGAAGTAAATAAATGATATTACAAACCAGCTCTGCAAATGTATCCTAGTTATTCACCCTGTTGAGGTAGAAAAGACACATTATCTCATGGTAGTTTTCTGAGTAGTTACAGTCCACTCAATTATCTTACTTGATCAAAATCTGAGCAAAGTTTTTATGACAAGACTGGTGGAATTAGCTTATCTTCCAGAAAGCATCTACTGTACAGAGGGAGAGCACTCTCCCCAGGTGACTTCAGAGAGAAGAGGTCAGTGTGGCACTAGACAGCCAGGCTTCTGGCTGGGGAGGGCCAATAAATACCAACTGCTTCCCAGCTAGAAATTCTGAAAATGTGTCACTGCTATTCTAACGCGAAAAGTACGCAATGGATTTCTATGTACATTCTTAAGAAAACTTTGAATACTTGTCAATGAACAAGAACTAGAAGAAAGGGAATTTTCAGAAAAGAGGAAGGATCTTCAAGGAAGTAACAGTGTTTTATGAAAATAAAATATCACTACTGTAATTTAAGGATGTAGTAATAAATCTTTCAGAACACAATATGCAACCTATTGAAAATGCCTAATTCTATGTATTTATGAGTTGAATAGGTGCTAAAGAATCAAAAGTAAATGAGTAAAACAGTAATAAAATCGATATGGATATTAATTTTCTGACTTTTCTTGGATCTTATAGTATATTTTCTGCATATTTGCATATTTGTGCAGGTTTAAATATTTCCATGAAGATTTTCATCAGATTTTTGATAACAATCTAACACCAAAACATTTTCAAATGAACAGCTCTCATTACTAAGTAGCCATTCTAACAATGGCCTGGATGAAAAATGAAAATATGTTTGTTGTAGGAATAGAGCACACTCATGCTTTTATTTGTTTCTCTATTTTTTTTTAGGAAAGTTACTATGCTCAGCTCAATGTCAGTAAATATCTTTACACAACCTCTTGTCGGGGCGCTACCTCTTTTATTTTTGTTCAAAATGAAAAATGTAAATATGTAATACACATATTAATGTATCTACTGATAAAACATTGAATAAAATTCACTTCAAGTCAGTATATACTATGATTGATGCATTCAGGTTGACATTACTAAGAAGCTGAAAATAAATGCCGTCATAATAAAGGGTTGGTTATTTCTCAAAATGCTTGTTTGCCAGAGTTTCCACTTTGTATCCATCATCCTATTAGGATAGAATGCTGGGTAACTAGAATTATTATCCTATTCCTCTAAAATGCCAAGCACAGACACAGGCCCTCCAAAACACTAGAACTGAAGCTTTTGAGAGAATATTTCAATAAATAGTTTTGAGAGGAAAATGAAATTCAGATTAAAGTGAAAAAACTATATCAAAAAATATACGGTTATATTAATGACATAATAAATACTAACAGTACTATTCTTGTGAAGCTAGCATAGCTGGAAAAGAGAAATCAGGTGCTTAGAAGTTAGTACTCGCATGGACAAGTAAAGCTTAAGAAATACATCAACATTGAGGTTATCTACTGATATATGCTTGTCTGATTTGTTATGGGATGTGCTTAACAGCCAAATGGTCAGATCAAGGTAAGGAAGAGATCAGCTGCAAAAGTTCGGAATCACAGCTTTCTGTCTTACCTTCCACTGAGGAGGAAGCCGATAACCACCGCCAACAAAATGACTCCCACTGTCACAGACACAGCAATTATAGGAATCTGGCTTTGATCGCTGGATGCTGCAACTGCTGATAGGAGACACAGAAAATGGAGCTTGTGGTTAAAGTGATCATATGCATTCAAATAAGAGCTGCTTAATAGCCGGTAATCAATGCATGGTTTAAGCCATTCACCCACACTTGGCTGAGATTTCCCACTAATAATCTCTTCTCAGTGGTGTGTAATTGAAAAGACATCTTTAGGAGAAAATATTTATTCTCCAAATGGAAATTTGGAAGAACTGCTAAGTCACTGATCATTTCCTTGTCATCATAAACAATTAATGTAATTGTTTGCATGGTACTCATTTAGGGATCTTACATTTGCAAGATAAAATGAAGCTTAGTCCTTGATTTCAAACACCTCTTAAATAGGAGGTGCTAAGTATATGAGATTTGACATTTTTAGAGTTTGCATGAGGCTGTTCTCTAGGAAAAAAACAATCTCATTTTCTCTGATAGGGTTTTTTCTCATAGACAAGGTTGAAATGCCCAAAATGTCCAAAACAATGTAGCTACGACTTCACTAAAGTTAAATACGATATCACTATTCTGAATATAATTTTAAAAATCATAATTTCCAACAGAATATAATCACTAAATATACTTTATAAGAAGGACCACTTTTTCAAAACTATCAAGGCATACATACATTTAGAACTTTAAACCTGCAGTAAAATTAGATTTGTTTACATGATCTTTTTTAATACACGAATTTAGATGAAATATTTTATATTTTAATAACACCATTGCCATAATAAGAGGAATATAGACATAATTAGATAGTTGTACCTAAAAAAAAGCAAATGAATTTTTCTTTTGTCAAGATAACTAAGCCTGATTAAAATAAGAAACCTATAGAGAAAAATAAATTTTATTAATGTTCTTGTGAAATCTTCAATAGGATACCTAACATGCTTATTGTTTAATGACATTATCATTTTGATAAATTCAGAGTAGCATTAGTTCATTTCCATGACAACAAATTTTAAGTCATCCCAGCTAACAACAACAACCATACTTCTCGTGTTTTGTTTCTTATAATCTTCTTACAATCTGATCTTGGCCCTATCAATAGTTTGGGCATTCAAATGGTTCCCTTCCTAGTCTTATCACGTCTTCATTGATTTTTTTCAATCAAAATTGACTGACTCTCTGACAACCTGTTTACACTGATCTACACTTTTAACCCTTTCAGATCAATCTTCAAGAACCCGATATCATCAACAACTGGTTTATGTACAAGAAAAACTATTATTTGCAATCCAAATCTATGCCCTCCCTCTTCTTGGATAATAATAGTTGCAATACAATGTCTCTTTACCCTGCTTTTTCCTATTCTCTGATGCTGAGGTGTGTGGTAGAGAATTTGTTACCGGTGAGCAGTATAATGGAGTAAGGCAAAGCTACCCCACTACCACTAGCAGCCTTTCCCAGGATTTGCCTTATTAAATTCTAAATTCAGGTTACTTATTTTCTCAGTTTTTAACTTTCTTTTTGGCAGGTGGCATTGTTTCTAGAGAAATCCATGAAGACTTGGCCCAAATAAGTTCAATGTTATTTTGTTTGGGCTCCAAAGCTTTTGATTCTCTCTTTTGATTTCCTAACAAAATCATCCCCATAATGAGTCTTCCTTGTTTTCTCAGTACACTAATCCATTCCCACTTCCCAAATTGTAGAAATGTTAAGCTTCATGGGGAAAGGTATAGCTCAAGTGGTAGAGTGCATGCTTAGCATGCATGAGCTCCTTAGGTTAAATCCCCAGCACCTCCTTTAAGAATAAATTACCTCCCCCCACCAAAAAACCCCCAAAACCTATAAATGTTAAACTTTATAGATAAAAGAGAGGGATCGAGTCTGAACTCCATGGTTAAAAATAACTCCATACCTTTCTTTGGCTTTACCTAACTCCACTGTTAAAATCCTTCTTGTCTCTTCCACAACCTTGATTCTTAAAAATCTCAACCTGGGAGAGATTTTCATTTTCTTAGAGGCAGCTTAGCTTCTCTGCTACTTACCAGCCCAAACAGATAAGTCTTCTTGAGGGGAACAGATCCTTATACCTAAACTTACTGATATTATTAGTGCTATTTTAATCATCAGTATGCATCTTCTTTAACTCCCTATTAGATTATAATCCTTGAGAAGAGAGGGATTGGGCTTTGAAGTCATTTGAGTCACTCATTGTACCTACAGTACCCAGTACCTAGAGTGAAAACTCTTGATGCGTAGGAAGTTAATAAGATAAATTTTAAAATAGTGAACAAAACTATTATCCCCAAAGAGTTCTTGACACAAATATTCCATTATTCAGAATTAAACAGACTGTATTCTTAGTCTCTGGAGGTAAGTTTCCATGTATTACTCATCTTAGTTTCTGCAGAGTCTAGCAAAGCCAAGCACATAATAGCACATTCTTGCTGAATTATATCCAGAAGGTTTCTACATGAAGATCAAAGGGAATGGGTATGTAATAGATACTTAGTGCAAAGAAAAAGTCATTCTTAAAATGCTTGGAAATACATGTACACCAACTCAAGTAAAAATAAAATTCCACACTAAATGTAGGAGGAAATACATCCCTAAGATGTTTAATTATCTATTAATCAAAAACCTGCTTTTGTACTAAAATATTCGTGTGATACTTCTTTCCCTCTAGAAATTATGTAGGAAAAAATTTAAAAGTAGACAATTCTCAGGTGAGATTTTGTAAAATATACAGAAAATGACTTCACAGTCATTTTCTTTGAGATCAGGCTGATGGATATTGGCATACTTAGAAATTACTATTTGATAAAAAAAAGTAAGGGAAGGAATATCAAATAGTCTGAAAAAAAACTAGTCACTGAACATGCCAACATTCTAAAACTATGTGGAATTTTACTAGCTTTTAAAATGAGATTTTTCATTTGTATAGTTATCCAAGCACTCAAGCATATTGTGAGATACTACTCTATGGCTTTTTTCCCAGAATTGGTGAACCACATAAGCATTATACATTACTAATGGTACATAAATAGCAGCAAAACCTATTACGGTGATCAATTTATATCATATGTGTTTTGTCATAAATCCAAATCAGGATTCAAGGTATGAAAGTAAATAATCCACTACCAATATTACATAAATTTTCTGACTAATTACATCTATTCTTATCAAATCTATTAAGAAACTCTTCTAAATAGCATTAAATGTTCAAATTACAATACTGTCAATCAAACATGGGACTTTCCTTGGAAAGAATTTATTATTTTTCAAAATGGCACCCTAATCTGTATAAAATCAAGTGAAGGTATACTTAGACAGCTATTTTTAAAGTAATAAAAATTATTTTCTACATAATTCAGTTAAACATGCTTTAAAAAGAAGTATAGCTTCATCTTCTAAAGACCTATATTATATAGGTTTATGGAAATTTTAATTTAATAATTCTTCTGTTCATTACAAAGTAAATCTACTAAGTTCTCATTTTTGATTGAGTTTCAAAGGGAGAAAATACATATTTTATTTTCATTTTAAAATCACTAATTCTTACATACCTTGAATATAAAAAGTACATATTATGTGTATATATGTATTGTATGTGTATAAACATATACATTTACACATATTTGACGGTTCACAGTACTTTTGTGTGTCATTTTCTTCATAACAAGACTTTAATAGTGTCAGTTCTTTCATCTATAAACAAGGCAAGTTATTGCCTTCTTCTAATCCTGCTTTCAATATATGCTTTAGGGCAAGTAAATAATCTAAATATCTTCTTTGACATTTAAGAAGAAAAAGTTTTAATGCCATTTTTACTATTTTATGAAAAAAAAGAAGGTACAAGAAGGGTCTTCCAGAAATATTTCCAGACCCTCCACTCAGAGATGCTGCTAGAGATTTAGACTTTTTAGAACAATCACACTGGTTCCTGAAAACACCATTTTCTTGCCAAGCTCAATATTAATGAAAGTCCCCTGTGGAGTTTTCATGGAAAGACTAAGCCTTGTAGCCTAGTTCAAGTAAAAATTAAATGGCAATAATTCAATGAAGTATGGCAGCAGTAGAAAGAAAGTCTTTAAAAGCAAGGTTTAAACATTTCTTAAGGGTCTCCTGATGCTTCATCTCCCAGTAGACTAAAAGCAATGAGGAGTGGGGACTGATGTGTTACCTGCTAACCCACCATAATAGCACGACAGATGCTTCCTACCTGAAGGGGTCATTCCTGGGAGAGAGAGAAGAAGCGGGAGACTGACAGAATGCCCAGGGAGAGTATTGATCCACTGACTCTTTTCTGGTAACCATTACAGAGACATGAGTTGACAGTAATTAAAATGACTTACACACTGGGATGGTTTCAAACTCAAATCTTCGACTGAAGACACCATATCCTGCTGCTGTGCGTGCTCGAATTTGGAAGACATATACTGAAGCTGGTTTCAAGCCCTCTGCAGTTATAGTTGTCTCTTTAGATTTGATAATTGTATAGCTGGTCTCTTGGTCCTTGGATTACACATGCACATAGAATAAAAAGAAGTTAATATATGCATTACTAATGACAGCAAAACTTAGAATCAAAGATTAGAAAAAGAATGAGAAACTGATAGAACTGCTATTAGTACAAATAAGATGTTCTAGGAAACAAAGGAAACCTACACATCCTAGATGTATTATTTATATAGAACCTTAAAGTATTTTCTAGAACTCGAAGAGGGTGGATATCTTCTCCACTCATTCACCACACTTACTTTGGGCAGAAATAGATACGTACAATTTTTAAATTCAACTTCCAGGAGATAAGTTATTTTACAGACTTTATTTTAGCACTGCTAATTGTGTGTGCATTTTTCTAATAAACGTTTTATTGAAGCACATCTAATGTGTTACTGGTTCACAGACAAAGGTGAAAGTATATCACATACTTCCAGGTAAGACCTATGCCTTTTATCTTTAGTGAATTTGATTTCTAGTTATATTTAGGGCTTGGGAGAAGGAATGAGTATGTTACTAAAGAACTTTAATTTCACATCACTAAGTCTAAACAAGGAGCTGTAAAGAAAAAATACAAATAAGCAACAATATATTTTTCCTTTTTAAAATCTTTCTATTTTTTCATATTTATGTGTTTGGGTTGAGTTAGCAGTGAATGGAAATGAAGTGGGGGAAAATGACACTGGAAAGATAATTTTGGAAAGTGAAATAAAGAGGAACTGTTCCTATTTTGACTGTTAACAAAAGTCTAGGCAAACCACCTATAATTCATCATTACCTCTGAAGTTACCATGCTGAACATAAAATCTTGGGTTAATAAAGATTTAAAACACACAAAGTCCTTGTTTTGAATTATTTCTCTCCTTATATTTTTCTATGTGAATTCTTGGTTAAACTTGTTTCTTCCTTAGGTCTTTCTACATTTATTAAATTTCTGATAGATACTATAGGATGAATTAAAAATAGGTATGCTTAGAGATTTTTCCCCCTTGTAAAGAATTGGTCTTATAATAACTTAATTGATCACTGTAAACCGTTGTTTTCAGGGAATTTTGCCTTGACAGGCAGAAAAATGTATTGATTTTTAAAAAAGATCTAAGGGGAATAACATGTAAAGTATTTCTTTTTCCTATATGAGAAGAAAATTGAAAGCAAGAATATAGTTTTTTTTTCAAGCACTCTAATAGGCAATAAGGTTATTATTTAATCTCCCTAATGCCATTAAAATGTAAAACAAATGCAAATCACATCCCTTGTCCCTTGAAATTTACAGCACACCATGCTGTGCCTTTAGTGTGGACACTGAAATCATGTGCTAAACTACAGCAAGCCCATTTGTACGTTTATCCTCAGTTTCTTTATCTGTACAATTAGGGTAGAAATTGGTGCCTGGATTTCCTCATAGAAATGTTATAAGAATGAAACAAGGCAATGTATGTGAAGATATTACCCTAAAAGGTAAAGACCCTGGTTCTTGTCATACCTTAAAGACAACTGTGCAGTTGGCAGACAGTGTGTTGTGTAGCAAAAGATTTTAAAAGATTTATTCCAAAAGAAAAGAAAAGTACATCCCCAAGAGCAGGAGGCAGGCTGACCCAAGGGAGGAAAAGCGGAGGGTTTTGTCTCCCCTTTCTCTTATAGCCTCACTCAGAGGTGGTCTCTTGATTGATTGACGGCTGTTGTCCCTGGAATGCTTAGTCACGTTTGGCCCCTTTGCCCATGTCCTTACCCATAGTGTCCACAGAAAATCCCACGTGGGTGAGAGCTAAACTGCAATGTTATTTATAAAACAATGAACATTGGGTCGTGTCAGGTTAAGTCCTTTCTGCTACCGCACAGTCGTGGCTGTCATGTTTTAACCAGTTTCTTGCTGACACTCATTCAGAAGAAGTAATGTCCTTTTATGCTGGAGGCGGGCATAATGCCATCTTCTGAACCATCCTCCCTCTCCTCCAACTATCTGCCTGATGCTTCCCCTTATCTATCTAACAAAATACTTATTAAACTATAAAGTATGTTTTAATTGTCATAACTATTATTTTTTGTCTAATTTGACACATCAAAGTCAACATCTAACCACATTCTATGCAACCACCAATACAATCTAAAATAGACAATGCATAAATATGCTTCTTTTAAAGTGGTTTGCCCATTCCTCATTTAATATGTTCAATCATATAAAATTTTCTTAGGGTTGAGTATATCCAAATTTCTCTCTAGAGAGGTATAGTTTAAATTTTAATCCAAATAGGTTTTTCTGATTCACTCTACGTAAACAACTGATCTTTGTTTTCTTTTATAGGTTATGTGCCTAATCTTTAAGATGTTGAGGAAATTTTATTAGAGTTTTGCAAAGAATTTAAAGTAGGTAATTAATTCTATAAAATTTTACCTAGTAACGTCAGTCATTTTCTTCACTCACAAATATTTATTGATCCTCTCTTATCTACTCTATTACCCCTTCTATGTGGTAGGGGTAGAACAGTGAAAAAAAGCAGATAATTTCTTGATGTGTTCCTTTTAAAAGGGGTAAGTAGCTTCCATAAACCACTGTAGTTATTGATGGTCTGAGTACACTCAACTTTATGACTGAATGTGCAAGACTTTTTCAATAATATTATACCTTCCAGTTCAGCTGTGATTGAATCAGTAATTTTCAGTAAGAAATGTTAAAATATATGTTCACTATTATTTGCATTTTGTTTAAAGGGAATTTGAGTTGGTGAAAAAATCTAATCAAAATGAAAGATTTTGGTGTATTTGGTATTATTAGAATTTTTACATAAAATATTAATTAACATTTATATGTAAAGTAAGAATTTTTTTTTTTTACCAAAAAAAGCATAAGAATATCAGGGTTAGAATTCCAGCCATGTTATTAACCAAGTACATGTGTAAATGCAGGTATGTAGCTCAACTTCAGTTTTTTTTCTTCTTTAAAATGGGATGAAATTATTTATCAAGGGTTTTGTTAGGACACACAGATGGAAACTTAGACAATATACCTAGCACTCAGAATAATCTTCTGAGCAGTTCTAGGTAAATTTGATTTGACCCTACAGCATGGTGGCAAATTCTTCTACTGAAAAGAAAAAAAGAATTAAAAAGCTTACATGATTATAACTCCTAACTACTGAAAAAAAAAAAAAGAAATTGATAATTTGGCCAAAAAGAAAAAAATATTGCAAGGAAACTGGATTGCTGCTCCTTGAAATAATGTATAATCTAATATCATTTGAACAAAATTATAAAACATTCTGTACGATTTATCTACTAACATTATGTAGGTCTCAGTGGTTCCTTATGGCAGGTCTAATTGTACATTGTCTCTCTGAGTTTGCTGAATACAGCATTTTTGAAGGGACTTAGCATAGCTTATATCAAAAGGATCAAAACCCATACAGACACATTTTGAATTATCTAAGTATATTCTAAAATTTCCTTCTGATCCACTCCTTTACATCATCTCCATACTATAATTTCCTTATATTACAAGACTATCTACACATCTTCAACACCCACAACCAAACGCTGCCAAGTCCTTGGTCAGGGTAGTGGCTTTTGCTGCCTTCATGCCCCAGCTGAGCAAATGAGCTACATTCCCCAGCTGCTTAGCAAACACTGTTCACATGCAGCGAGGGGAGGGCCTGAGCAGAAGGAGCCAGCTGGCAAACACCCTGCCAAAGGGCAGCTTCCCTTTGCCTCTGTCTTTAATTAAGAGATGGCAATGGGCCCATCACCATGCAGGAGCAGAGAGGCCCAATGACCTCTATTAGAGCAGGGCAATCACAGGCAGAGATGCCAGCTGGCAAATGTGTGAGTCCTGGAAAGCTCTGCCACCTGTGTCTGGCCAAGAGCCATCCAATAAAATGGTAGTGTCATTCTGAAGATTCAAAATGAGCTCTGGAAACCTATCAGGACACCCACCTCAATACATGGTATAAAAGCTCATTATCCTTTATTTCTTCCCTTCTGAAAGTGTAAAAAGAAAAAAAAACCTTTTGTGTATTTCATCGGTATGCTCAATAATTTTGCTTGTCAAAAAAGTCTGGGAATTAGTATCTTCACTGTGAAAAGGAAAACACTGACCAAAAGAAGGTAATAACTTCCTCAAAATTATATCTAAGAGTTTTTCTGTTTTTATAGCATGTAAGTAGGCAACTTGTTATTCATTTATTGAGGTTATGGATAGAAATCTTTTTTCCCAAATCATTTATTCTTATTTCAAATTATGTAGGTAACAGAATGTATTAATGTAGCATGAACTATAAAATATTAAACATAAACCAAATCTTACTGAATAAATATAACTTATACAATGAACTATAAAGAAAATATTTCAACATGGATAAAATTAATTTGAAGGAATATTAATAGAAAAGGACTCTGCCCCATCACTTATGGAGTAACTGTTTTAACAGAAGTAGTAGCTCAAAGGAAAAAAAAAAGATAAATCCTTGATTCTAATGAATATTTTGTATATGAGACTCAAGCATATGCTGGGAAGTAAAAGTAAAAACAATTGAAGGTTACTCGTAAGAGGAAAAAATTAGAACAATTTCCTTACAGATCACAAAATAAAACAAAACAAAACAAAAAACACCTCAGACATTGGTCCACTTAGTTGCTTCAGGTAAAGAAAAACGATGCAGGGAAATAAGGACTTGTCAAACTTTTAGTCTTCCTGTAGTTGAGCTTTATTTCATCTAAGATATGTATGTTTCATCTAAGATATGTTTATGTATATATTCAAATATATAGTTTTTGGTGTATAGTTACTTTAAGATGCCATTATGAATTCCAATTTCTTTTAAAGTCAACTTTAATTACAATAAAATTCTGAGACTTAAAAGTGTTTATAAAAGAACTCATGTCTAGTTTTGCATTAGTATACAGTAATAAGGTTTACCAAAACTTGAAAAAGGAATGTAAACCTTGATTTAACAAATTTTTTTTTGGATACAGCATTTATTTAAATTGTAGACTTCCAGAACTTGCAATTCAGTTTGGACCACTACTCCCAGAGAAACAGGGATTGGCGGGGGAGGTGGATATTAATATCATAACATTTTACTTGATTTACTCTATTTTTGTACTCTATTTATGTAAACTTTATCCCAACATAACTTTGTCTCAGAGATATTTTCTTAGAACAATCTTGGTGAATAATCTATTTGATAATATATTTTTTGAAATACCTTATAAGTATCTTCATTTATGTTTCCTAATAATCCAGTGGTTACATATAATGCTACCAGCAAGTCATTCCTAGAAAGACAACTATTTCAAAAATAACTGCTTTTCTATTCATCTATTTATAAAACCAATATATGAGCATTGTACAGATACCCAAAACCTAGAAAGAATATGTAGACAGCCCCACCCTCCCTGACATAAACTCTACTGTTTTATTCTCTGTTGGGTCTTTACACTGGTAATTGTTGACTCAGTGAGGAAAGAAGCAATTTTTTAAAATGCTATGAATTACTTCAGTGTGTTTCACTGTATTTACATACACTCTTTTATCTATGCATATATACAGAATGTTGAATTTTTAAGTAATTTTCATCAATGGGATATCAGTATTTCTCATGATACGTTTGCATTAGTATAAGGGGAGCCATTTATTCCCTCTTTCATTTCCAATGTCCTAGCTTGGACAATTTCTTGGGTATTGCAAAGTAAGCTTTTGAACTTCCTCCACCCATCTTCACTCTTTCTTAAAAGAAAAGGAGGATGTCTCTGGGAGTTTGGGAGAAGCAACTGGATAAGTGTGGCTGAGCCCTTCCTTCCCTTCTCTTTTGGGATTTGCTTCTCTGCATTATGTCAGCAATCTTTACTACCCTTGCTTCCACAGGAAAACACTTCTGGGTCAAGGTCTTCTACTCACCTCTTAGAGACTGGTTTGGGCACTCCTCTGTCTTTACCTGGTCAATTAAAACTCAAGTTGTTCTAAGTAGTGTATGTCACTCAGATCTAGACTGTACAAAAATCACAGTAAAATGGGGGTGGGAGTTGGAGCAAGACTCATGGTGTCTATATATCTAAGCCAAATACTACAGTCCAGCTTTAGAAATTATAAATTCATCCTTAGCTTCCATCTGTGTTATTCCTTTACCAATAGCTCATCTGGTTGTGGATTCAGAAAAGAGGGAGAGGGATGATTTCTGCCTTTAGATTGCAACAACTGTTACGGCAAAACATGTTACAGTGGACCCGGGTGCCAACTCAGGGAAGACGACGAAATCAAGAAAGTAAAGACAATGTGAAGCACGCATTTCCAGGTTTATGCCCTCAAATTTTAAAATAAACTGTATGCTACAGTGTTAGATTTTGATTACAGACTTTTTAAACTTACACAGTATATGTATATACCTCATCTGCTTATACTTCCTTAACAGTATAGGTATTATGCAGGTACTGGCCATGAGAATGTGTTTTCCTTGTATTACACTGCAGTCACTACTGAACATTAACAACTTCAGTGTTTGGGACACACTGAAGATGTCCTATGATGTCATCTTTTAAGCTGTGAACCCTGGTTAAGCTGATGCTAGACTACAGGCAGTATTCTGGCAGTGTAAACTATCTGGCAGGAGCAGAACACAAATAAAGTGCTCCCTGTACATTTCTAGCTTCCATAATCATGACTGCAGATCAATTGTCATTGATCTACACAGAAAATTGCAACACGCTTTTATTCAAATTGGATAACTGTAGTTGCTAAAATTAAAAAAGAAAAAAGAAAGAGAGAAACGATATTCTTTATTCTGTTAGTCCCACCTTTTCAAAGTATTTGATTTCATACTCCAGGATGATTCCATTGGGGCGATCTGGCTCTTGCCAAGACAAAGAGATGCTGTTTTTTGCAATCTTCCCCTTTTTCACATTGGTGACTGGAGAGGGGGCTGCAAAATAGTAATGCACAGTAGCATGATTAACAGGGCCTTGAAACAACAACTGTGTGTAGCGTATATTAGCATTCTTGAAAAGTGGCATAATAAAAATCTCAAATAATTAAATTTTGTTTAAAATTGATAGCAATTTAATTTTATATAAGTTTTTACAGATTGCAAAAACTTTAAAATATGTCGACTAATATTCTGAGAATTTTCCATAATAAAATTGTAGTCACATAGACTCTTAAGCCCACATTTTCTCTATAAAGTTTTGCAACATAAACTATCTTACTTTTTATAGAATAAAGATGTTCTTGATGACCTTATATATCTTCTATGTTTCTAAAATTTGTGGACTCTGTATAATATGTCACATTATGCTTATACATACATAATTATCTATATTGCCACTTTTTTTCAACATTAAGGCTTTTGCTTATCATTTCTTAATTTTGAAATCATATGGGTCCTATAATCATTAACACATTCATATTTTAAATATAGTGAAGGTTTTCCTTCAAAAATATGCTACTAAATATGTGGCATATATTGAAAACCATAGTAAATAAAATAAACATTTCCCTTCATTTCCATTCCCCCAAATATTTCATTAGAAATCACAATCACTTGTAGTGTTCATTGCTGTTTGCCAGTATCTATTAAATGACTACTTTTATGATGAAAAAAGAAAAAATAGTCTATTTTGGATATTTCTGAATATTTTGAATTCCTACACATATGACTATTTGATTCAACATTCAGTTTTATCAATCTGCTGATTATTTGTATAGGCTCTGGGTTTGATACCATAAAGAGGCCTTGACTAATATTTTTCTTGATGTAGATGGCCTTCATTTTTGTAGTGTTCAGCTTTTATAGAAGACACAGGGGAAAAAACCATCATAGACTAATAAATGGTGTATATATATGTATGTACGTATATATGTGTGTATTTGTAGGAAATAGAGAAGTAATATATAATATATATGTATATTATATATAATGTACATATAATAAGATAGAAAAGATGTGAGCAACAGTGAGTGGTGTATAACCAGAGGCTGAGACCTACATGAACGGATGAGATATCTGGTGAGATTAAAATTTATATCTGTGTTATACATATGAACATATATATATAGTTTCTAACTATTTTAACTTTCAGCATTGTTCAGACAAAATAACACACTGTAATTTGTCATGTTTAATTGTTTTTCCACTCCTCAGAAAATCAAATCAGAGGCTACAGACAGTAGAAACAAAGTTCAGAACTGTTTGGTGGGTACAACACGAGTGTGAAAAGCAGGCTGGGGAAGAGGCTCATCGTTTAAAAACAGAAACGAGGTCATGTCACGTCTCTGCTTAAAACCCTCTGTGCCTCTGTCTCACTGCAGAGTGTAACCTACGTGTGGACTGCAGACCAGCATCTACACTCCCACTCCCCGCATCCTCTCTGACCTCACCGCCTCCTGCAACTGTTCCCCAGCAGCTCTGCCCAGATGTCTGTCCTTAGGCACTTCAGATGAACTCGTACTCGTACTCGTGCCTAAGGATCTTTGTATTTGCATCCTACTGTTTAGAGGGGCTTCTCACCCTGACTTCCCCAGGGCTGTCTTCACCTCTGGGTTTCTCCCTGAGAGCTTTCCTGCCTACTCTGTCCCTCAGCCCCCCTCACCTCGCCATGTCCTCGGTTCCTTTAGTATTCTATTTTTCTCTTTATCTCTTGCACTTGTACCATCTGATATGCATCTTAATTCTATATTTGCTTTTTTCAGTCCTTTCAAGTAGAATGTAGTTTTTATGAAGATAGGGATATTATTTATTTCATTCACTGCTGAATCCCTAGATCTAGAACAGCACCATAGCAGAGGAGGGTCCAATAAATATGTATAGAGTAAATGACGGGTGGTAAAAAATCAAATATAGAGAAAACTTTTATTTTTAATTATTTATTCTGTCAACAAACTCATCTATGAAACTCAAGGATGAAGTATCTTTTAATAAAATTAAAATGGAGATAGATATAATCTATTAAAGCAAAATTAGTTAACTGTCTATTATTTTATGTACCCATAATAGAGTGATAATGACTTTCATACTGTAATTTGTAGTTATATTCTTCTAATCATAGAGCTTTGAGGTATTCAGATTCAGAGGTTGTATAATTTCAGCTTTATCCTCTTTTCTTAAACATGTGCAGTTCCACAAGTTTTCTGGAATACTATAGAACAATATGTGTAATGTGAAGGCAAAATTGTCTGAAGGTAGTTTTATTTTTTTTTTACTGAAGTGTTGTTGATTTACCATGTTAGTTTCAGGTGTACAGCAGAGCAAATTTTATACATACATACATACATATATATATATGTATATATACACACACACACATACACACACACACATTTCCAGATTCTTTTGGATTATAGCTTATTAGAAGAAATTGAATATAGTTCCCTGTGCTACACAGTAGGTCTCTGTTGTTTGTTTTATATATAGTATAAACATAGATCAACACAGTATATATGTTGATCCCAAACTCCTAATTTATCCCTCCCCTTCCTTTCCCTTTGGTAACTGTAGTTTGTTTTCTATGTCTGTGAGACTATTTCTGGTTTGTAAATAAAATTGTATCCTTTTTAAAGTGATTTCATATGCTATTTATCTTTCTCTGTCTGACTTACTTCACTTAATATCATAATCTCTAGGTTCATCCATGTTGCTGCAAATGGCATTATTTCATTCTTTTTATGGCCAAGTAATATTCCAGTGTGTGTATGTGTATACATATGTATAAACAAACATATATTCCAATATATATATATATTCCATTGTGTGTGTGTGTAGCGTATACCATAACCACTTGTGTGTACACACACACACACACACACACACACACACACACACACACACATACCATAACTTATTTATTCATTCATCTGTCAATGAACATTTAGGTTGTCTCCATGTCTTGGCTATAGTAACCAGTGCTGTTAAGAACACTGGGGTGCCGGTGTCTTTTCAAATTAGAGTTTTCTCTGGATATATGCCCGGGAGTAGGATAGCTGGATCATATGTTAAGTCTATTTTTAGTTTTTTAAGGACCCTCCATAGTGTCCTCCATAGTGGTTGCACCAATTTACATTTCCACCAACAGTGTAGGAGGGTTCTAAAGGTAGTTTTGAAATTGCAGTTTATTTACTTTCATGGAAATTGTACTTGACTGGTAGTTATTACAGTCACGCTTCGGCATAGGTTCAAAGTCCCTACTGATGTCCTTGGGAGGGAAAAGTCATGCCATATTCAGTATTGTGGACAAAGTATCCAGAAGGCATGGAAACAGGAAAGAGGAAGCTATGGGTCCCCCAGTTCACCACAGTGTTTGTAGCAAGATATCAAATTTACTGAATTAGAAACAGTACCAGAGAATTAAGGAAGACAGTGGAATTTTTAAATGTATTTTGTTCAATAGTGAAAATCTTTACGAATTATCTTAAATGATAAATTACAGTCGTTTTCCCATTACCACTATATATTTATTGTATGATTCTTTAGTAAAAGATCCAGACAAAGACTACCTTTAAAGTTCTTCACTCATTTGCTATATTGCAGACATCCTCATTTTGATTGATATATTTCTTATAGATAGCTGTCAGTTTTCACTTAATAAATTGATGGTGTTGTCAATTTTCTATTTATAATTGCATTTAACATATATGCTCCATGAAGGCAGGAGTTAATTTGGTTTAGTTCACTGCTATATCTCCAGTACTAGAAAATTACTTGGCACACAGTTATTTCATAAATATTTGTCAAATGGATGCATGCATGAATGAAGGAGTGGGAAATACACACATCATCAGGTATCATTCAAAACTGAGTTTGTCTCACCTTACATGCATATACTAGGATCTTATTAGTTGGGGATTTATGCTTTATTTAAGAACAATTCTATAATAAAATAATCAAGCATTTCAGTGTGAAGCTATCAAATAAATATCAACTTAGACACAACCAACTTGAAGGAAAATTCTTTGCAATTTACGTACATTCATCAAAGTTAAACATAAATTGTGTAGTTTTCAAAGACTGTTCAATTTAATAAACACTAATGTTTTCCAAACTTAGTTTCTCAGAAAAGAAAATAGAACCCTTTAAAACATGGTTCAGAATGGAAGGAGACCACTTCTCAGCTCAGAGTAGGTCAAGGATTATTTGCTCTACAATGAGACCATCTCTGCATCATCTGATCAAAGTGGGGACACTGACAGCTCCTGGGGACAAAACTATGATGCCCAAATTATGACTGGCAACACTATTTTCTCACTGTAAAGTATTTTACAGATCACATTTTACAGCATCAGGACATGTTTAATTTATCTCATTTATCTCCCTCACTTATACCTTTTACTCATTCTTTATCTGCTCGACCTCTTACGAAGTAAGCCTGGAACAAAATGAGAATGATGACTTAGAGCTGCCTGTAAAATTGTGCTAGATGATGGTAAATCATAAAACTACGACTGTCCTCAGGTAAGAAGAACAGAAATACTAGAGAAATCAAGTTGTGAACAGAACAAAATAATTCACAGAACTTCTATATATGTGGAAACATTTCAAAATGTTTCTGTATTGTAGCTTCTATGTTGGAGGTGAACTTTGGGTACTTATATAAGAAGCAAGATATTTATCTTTTAGTAACATTTCCCATTATGGACTAATTTGTCTGATTGAATTAAAAAATCTTAAATTGAGAATAGTTTTATATTTATAGCAAGATTAGGAAGATAGTACAGAGAGACCCCATATATCCCACACCTAATGTTCTCTATTAGAAACATCTTACAACAGTACAGCACATCTTATTAGTTGGAGATTTCACAGTTAATGAAACAATACTGATACATTATTATTTAAGTAGATATTTTATTGAGATTTCCTTAGTCTTTACTTATTATCATCTTCCTAGCACAGGCATGTCATATTACATTTAGTTACCACATATCCTTAGG